AGTAATTTTCATTTCTTAGAGATAAGTATGTTATTACGATGATATATTAATAGCTCACTTTCCAGTGACAGTTCTGAATAAATAAGATGGAAATTTTCTTGCATTTCTGTTCACCTAAATGATGGGAGGTAGATTTTGTTACTGATAAATTATTAATGTGGGGGACTTGCTGATGTTTTGTGTAGCTGTAACATTTTAGATGTAAATATCCATAACCTGATTATTGAAAAAAATATTATTTTAGGAGTAAATTAGGCATGCATTTTAGGAAATCAGAGTTTTAGGCAATTGTTTTTTGGGGTTTTTTTTGTCCTTTTTGACACCGGCCACACTGCGCTCAGCCAGTGAGCACTGTGAGCGCACCGGTCATCCCTATATAGGATCCGAACCCGCGGTGGGACGGCTGCTGCGCTCCCAGCACTGCACTCTCCCGAGTGCTCCACGGGCTCGGCCCTAGGCAGTTGTTAATGTGAGCATAATCAACAACAAATATTCAAGAATACCAAAAGTAAAGTTTGCAAATGAAACCAGTATATCTCAAAGGATAATATTTGATGAGCAAATATTTGAACACAGCAATTCTTAGGGAAAAAACTAGAGATTTGTCAAACTTTTATGAAGAAAATGACAAATCTTTGCTAAGGGACACATATAAAGGAAGACTTGACTAAAAGGAAACATGTATTTCTGTGTGGAAATAATTAGTATTTTAAAGATCAAGCCTCCTCAGATTAATTTGTAAATTTCAAACATGATTCAATAGAAATTTTAATGCTATTATTTTTAGAGTTTATTAAAATGCTTCTGTCTTTGCAGGAATAAACTTTGAGAAATCAGCCCACTAACCAGAACTTTATATTTCACTGCCAAAACAAACCAAAACTATCTTTTAAATTTAAAATCCGTTTTATTTTCATGACTATTCCATACCAATAATAGGACTGACTTGTTCTTAAAGTTTTAGGAGGGGTGAAAAAAAGAGTTCTCCATCACTACCCCATTCTTACCTCCCTTACTGTCTTCTATAGGACGCAGGCAGCCAGCAGGTTGGGTTTCTATTGGGCAGCTGTGGAGTTGCCCTGGCCCTGACCACAGATGCTTGTCAGAAAGGTCTTCCCAAGGCACAGACTGGAGAGGTGGCGACTTTCAAAGGTGAGACCTCCCAAGGGCAAGGAGAATCAGTATTCCAACTGTGATCTTTGTTAGATTGTGCCTTCTAGGCAAAGTGTTCCAGAAGTTAAACATTACAGAGACTGAAGGGTCTTTATCAAAGTTGATACTTTGTTCAAGGCTTCAATGAATCTCAGTTTTCATCTAGTTCTTCACGTGTTCTCAATGGTAGACACTAGCCAGACAGACCTATTTAAATTAAATAAAGTGAAATGGGACTAAAACTTGAGTTTCTCAGTTTCTCAGTTTCTCAGTGGCTAGTGGCTACATGTGAGGAGCAGAAGCCTTTTGACACTGGTGGTGCTGTGTGTTCTGTCCTGATACAGGTTGGCCCCCGCTCACCTGGCTGGTGATTGATGGGAAGCATCTGGCCAAGCCCCCCAAGGACTGGCACCCCCTGGCCCAGGACGCAGGGGCTAGGACTGCCTACATTGAGGTAATGGCCACTCCTAACTCAGAGCACGCGAAAACATGCCCGCACAGGATTAGGTCTCCTTTTTCATGATGGTATAAATAAGACGCTATTTTTTAAAAAAAATTTGAGGCCAACAGTTCTTATGTTTCATCTCTGCCCCAGAAAATATAAAGTATATAGAACCTTACTCAGATCCTTTCAGGTTTCACTCTTACCTAATTCTCCACTAACTGGCTATCCTGGGGATATGAACAGTCATGGTGGACTGAGGTCACCATTGCCCCCAAAGGCCAGGGTTTGAAGTGCATTTGCCTATTCTGTCTGCTGGGGCTTTTAGAAATACCACATGACATTTTTCTCCCTTGAAATCTTTCAGTATAAAACCAGCAAAGAAGGCAGCACAGTGGGGGTCACGGTGTCCCACGCTTCCCTGCTGGCACAGTGCCGGGCTCTGACCCAGGCATGCGGGTACTCAGAAGGTAAGGGCTCTCACCTGCATGTGAGCCATGGCTCTTAAGCCTTGTAGGTACCTGGTAGACCTGATCATGCCCGGAAACTCGATACATGTGTTGCATCCACCCTGGGTAGTGCCTTTACCCTTTAAGTTGGGTCGTGCAGGCAGGCATGCTTGTGGGTCTCTGTGGTTGTGCTGGGCTGGTGGGTAGGAGCTGTCTCTCAGCAGAGCCCAGGCAGCCCCACTCAGGGTTGTTCTCCATAAGTCCACATGGGTGCTGATTTCACGGAGCACCGACTCATTTATGCACAGTGTGAGGTTCACTAGCTGGCCCTGGTAGGCTGGCACAGTCTGTGATGTATTGAAGGGCAGTGTGTTTTGTGTTTAAAAAAATTGGAAACCACTTTTACAGGGACATATTTTCTACAACAGTTTTTTGTGACTATAGTTTTGGCTTAAGCTGTCATGCGTGTAAATATACAAGTGGAATCATTATGGTCATAGATTATCTCTTGGTAATGTATAGGCAGCCTCTGATTTATTGTTAAATATCAGATATTTAACTTAGAGAAATTTTTTAAATTAATTTTTAAATTAATATTATTTTAAATTGATAGATACTAATTGTATGTATTTATGAGGTATAATGTGAGAAATGTTATTTTAAAAACTATAAAAATGGAGTCATGGTAATTTTCTTACATTACAATACTAGAATTGAACAAAACTAGAAAGTAAAATTGAATAGTATGTTTGAATATTAAAATATGGGTGTTTAAAAGCAAGGGTAACGAGAGCATGGCTAAAGACTTTAGTGGAGATTTGGAAAAGGGCTGTTTTTTTTGGTATTTTCAAGAGCTTTAATAGTTTTAAAAAGTTAAATCTATCAAATCAAGTCCCATGGTTTTCTTTGTCTTCAAATCCAGCGCTAATCTTACATATATCACCTATAATTTGGGTTCTTTAGCTATCAAAGAAAGGATGTCTACAGTAGCATTTATTCAGAATATTCAGGTTTCCTGGCACACAAATCACACCTCTCCTGCTCACCTTAGGGTCTCTGTGGGTGCCCTATGGTTGCTGTGGCCTTTGGTGTGGAACCAGGTCTGCCCACAGCTCATGGCTCTGTCCTCTCTGCCCTGTGCAAGGCGGAGCCAGGTCCAAGAGAAGACTTGGCAGGGGCTCTGAGCAGAGGGCTGTGCTGGGACCCTCGGAACCCCCACCCACTCCAGCTCCCTAAAACGCAGAGGAGGAGTGGCATTCTGAAGGGTGATGGAGCCACCAGCTCTCCCAGAGGGGAGATGCAGGGTTATGGCCTCTGAGTGTGAGAATTGGAGGATCAGGAACATCCGTGACAGTTCCTCACCGCCCCCTTGATGCTGAGAACAGTGTCTACTCAAACATCTGATGAAAATATGTGACAGGTCCTTACACAGTTTCTTAAGTACTATATCATATTCCTGATATTTTCAGATTGGTGATCAGCACAGTTCTCTATTTTAATTCAAAATTGTATGACCTTGTTCTTTCATGTTTTCTCAGTAATTTAAATAGATAACCAAGATTATTGATTAATTGGTACATGGTAGTTGGAAACGCCATGTCTGTTTCCTGAGACTTGCGGGTTGGTGCTGTACTCATCTCAGAATTTCAACAGAAAATGTGCAGGGCTGTGAAGAGGGTTGCTCAGCCCATTAAACTTCTTTGTGCACTTTCAGCTGAGACCTTAACAAACGTGCTGGATTTCAAGAGGGATGCTGGTCTCTGGCATGGAGTCTTAACAGTGAGTGCTGTTTGCTCATGACTAATGGTCGGAACAAGGGGCTGTGGGTATTTTACACCAAGAGATGGGAGTGCAGGCCTGTGCCTGAAGCACTGCTGTGGGAGTGCATCAGTTCTGTTTTGCTTTTCTGACCTGGCTCAGTTCTTCTCACCCCTGAGCAGTTGTTTCTCTTGCAGAGCGTAGTGAACAGGATGCATGTGGTCAGCGTCCCGTACGCACTGATGAAAGTCAACCCACTCTCCTGGATTCAGAAAGTGTGCTCCTACAAAGGTACCAGAACGCCACCATTGCTTTACTCACCTTCTTTAAAGAAATCTCTTCGAAGTGATTCTGATAAAAAATAAAGCCAGCATGTGCAACTGCAGCTGTGGGCTGAGTAGCCCTGGGACCTCTGTTGTGGTCCTGTCTGGCGTGGTCCTGCCGAGGTGGGGAGGGGTTGGTGTGGTCCTGCAGGTTATCAGGGGCTTGGGAGGACACTTGCAAAGAAGTGACTGAGCTCTTTTCTGTGGGACCACAGACTACTGATTTTATTCTCTTGAAATTTCCTTTACAATGACATCAGTATTCTTAATCTTAGTATTAGAGACGGTTTTATAATTTGAAGTTAGGCACTAGTAGCAAATCCATTTGTTCAAACGACGACAGATGGGGTGAGATGTAGTGGTGGTGTCTTGGCCCTTCTCCCTCCCCTGCCCCCCACTGTTCAGGCGCCTCCCAGGACTGAGAGGAGGCCCCTGCACAGCCACGCCTGCACAATCCATCGTCCCTCTGTCTCTGCCCCAGTGCAGCCCCACAGCGCCTTCACAGCCCCTGAGGCACCAACTCGCCCTGAGCTGCCATGAAGCCTGTGCTCCTGCCAGTGATGGCTGCCCTCCACTAGGCGTCTTCAGAGCAGCATAGGGGTAGCAGCAGTATCTATTTATCCTGTTTTAGGGAGGAAGCCCGAAGCCTGGGTGGAGGGGCATTTGCTGGGTGCTACACACTGAGGGCCATTCGTTCAGATCCCAGGGTCCTCCCACTTAACTACCTGGAGTCTCCCAGCACACAGCAGCCAGCAGCTGTGTGAGCAGTGGGCATCACTAAGCCAGGACCAGCATCTTGGGGAGGGACAGTGTGAGACAAGACAGGTGGATGTGAAAAGGGCAGTGTAGAGAAAAAGTTAAGGTTGGAAATGGGTCTGAGTTTATTATATCTGAATTATGCCTCAAAGGGGTTCAGGGCAAGTTAGATTGCACAGGAGAGACAGCTGCACAGGGACTGTGCTCTAGAGGGTAAGCTATGTCCTGCCCTGTGCATGTGCACCTCCATGTGGTATGAAGCGTGTCAGGGTTCCCACCCTCATCCTGACGCATGGACATCTGTGCTGCCCTCTCTCTGCAGCCCAGGCCGCGCTAGTGAAGTCCCGTGACATGCACTGGTCTCTCCTGGCTCAGCGAGGGCAGAGGGACATCAGCCTGAGCTCTCTGCGCATGCTGATTGTGGCTGATGGCGCCAACCCGTGTGAGTAAGCCCCTGCAGTCAGGGCGTAGGTGGCACAGCGCCCCCTCTTGCAAACCCCAACTTGCCAGGTGAACAAGGCAATCTGTTGAAAGAGAATATGTTAAGAAACAAAATCAAGGCGTTTTCACTGCCAATGTTACATGAAATACAAATGTCCTATCATATTCTGTGACCTATGACCTCTTGTTGGTGACTCCCTGGTATGTCTCAAGCATGTTGATTAGGGCACTAATCTTTTTTTTTTTTTTTTTTTTTTTTTTTTTTTTTTTTTTTTTTGAAGCGC